GATTGTGTTGTCATAGACCCAATCCTAAATATTCTAGTCAAGATTGAACCACGTGTCAGACCAGTTAAATGATTCAACCACCTGGGTCAATTGATCTTTAATCAAGTCAACAGTTTTTTTACTGAAAAATGTAGGTTTAACCATCTAGTTCTAATGGTTCCAACAGTTCAACTGTCGATATCAATGCTAGTTTAAAAAAATGTCGGTGCACAAAAAGGTGACTTGGTGGTGATTCATGGCTCAATCCAATTCGATTCATTCATCTTYTAATTTGAATCATTAGGTAGGTGTTTGGCATTGATGTTGTTGCTTTAGAGATGTTTTCTGAGAAAACGGTGTTGCATGCATGAAGGTCTGTTGCACTGTTTTTTTAGAAAATGACATTTTTTTTTGTTTGGCATCGATGTTGCCACATAGGCTGTTTTCTGGGAAAACAGTACTAGTTTTGTTTGATACGAGTGTTGTATAATTGTTTTCACCATTGGTCTATATTATCCAACGCCCAAGATGATGCCACATCATTGCACGCCGGTAGCAATGGGTTCTTTTTTGAGAAAATACTGAATTTGGCATTTCTTCATACCACACTTTCCCAATTTCCAAGGCGTGGTTTAGAGCAATGTTTTTATGAAAAAAACAATGACAAATAAGAAGTTGTTTTATGAAGCACTTCGATGTTCCATTTTCTCAAAAAATGGCATTGATGCCAAACACCTCTTAGATGGGCCTTACCTTGTTTTATTTTTGGAGTTGGATTACGTCAACTTTTTGCCAGGTTTACTGGGTTTATTCTGTCTATTTCTTATATTTCTTTTTTTTTTATTTTTGGGTAATAAGAAGAATATAGAAGCTCAGCAACTACTTAGCCAAAGAAAAAGAATTCAACAACCTATTGCTTTGCTAAAGATACGACATGAGAAGATAACTATATATCATCAATAATTGAAATCCTACAACTTTATGAAAACATGTATAAATATGGATGTATAAACATGTATAAACAAAAGGTGCTACACAAGAAAGGGGGTAACACGCTCCACAAAATCACCAAAACAAATAGAAGTTAAATGACTATGAAGGGTACAAAGATTGAGAGAAATAACACCACTAGACAACGAATTAGCCTTGCTCGTTTCTTGGTTTGCCTACTGATACACGTGCCTGTAGTAAACTTTACCTTCCATCTTTTCCTTCATCTGCCAGTAGCTTGAGATTACGTTCCTAAGATTCGAAGGAGGAAGGATCAGGCATTTTAGATATTTTATAACTAGATTAGAATGCCCCTCAATAGTGTTTGAGAAYTCGCTGAAGTTCGTAGCCAAATTATGAGCTTTCCACGCCACCCATGCCTCTGCAGCATTAATAGAAGATTAACCCAAGGTATAAGCTTTATAATCCAAAATCTTGCCCAAATGGTTTCTTGCAATAGCTGCAACAATAGAGGGGCCATTTCTAGTGTAAGACGCATCGAAGTTAATTTTAATTTCACCCAAATTCGGGGGAACTTAGGAAACATTTTTTATTTTCTTAACATCTTTTCTATTGTCTAGTTCCCCATTAACGAACCGAAACTCATTAAGAGATTTAAAGTCCCTATCAAGAATAACTTGAGGGGGGACCTCCTTATTGTTGAAGGTTTTCTTATTCCTATTCTTCCAAATAAACCAAAGGATGAAGGCACATTTTTCTTTTAGATGAATCTGCTCAATCACATCTTTATTATGGATTTTAGTCCACCAATCTTCCAAATTCAGAATAGCCCCATCTAAGCTAGCAAGGTTAATATTTGACATTTCCCAAATTTTTTTGAGTTTAGGCAATCAAAGAAAATATGATGGATGTCTTCTGTAGAACCATACCAACTACAATCTCCATCAATGTTGAGACCTCTCCTTCTAAGGAAATCCTTTTGTCAAAAGTCTGTTATTTAGGAAGAGATATATAAACACCTTTATTTTTAGAGGACAAATTGTAAGCCGATTTCAATGAGACGTTCCCACTCGGGTTCAAGTACCACACTATATTGTCCTCCTTATTGTCCATAGGAATAAAAAATCAATTTAATTTTATTCCAAATATCAAGAGGGACCACACTTTGAATCTTATTATCCTTCCACACTCCTCTTTCTTTATCAATAAAATCACTTAAAATATCATTTTCAAGAGAATCCTAAGAAGGGTTTCTATAATCTAATAAGGTGAATCCGCCAACACAGTTATCTATCCAAAACTTGATAGAATCCCTATTACCAACAACCCATTTAAGACCCAATTTTAGAAGCACTCTGGCACTAAGAATGCCTCTCCAGGCCCAAGAGGATCCATTCCTTTTCTTAGCCTCCCACAAATTTTCCTTATTTAAATATTTCCCTTTAACAATTTTCACCCACAAATTATCTTCTTCGGTAATAATCTTCTAACCTAGCTTAGCAAGGCTTGCTTCAYTAAACCACTTAAGATTCCTTAACCCAAGGCCACCCCGGCTTTTAGGAGTACAAACTCTTCTCCAGTTCATTAAATGAAAAGGCTTATTACCCCTTGAGTTATTCCAAAGAAAAATTCTCTAGGCTTTTTCAATCTCCTCAACAATATTGTTGGGGAATCTAAAGGACCTCATAATGAACTGAGGCATCGTATATAGAAGTTATAGGATTCAGAAGGGTTAGCCTCTCAGCAAAGGATAGGGTATCTTTTTTCCATCAAACCAATCTTTTACTCTCTGTCATTCACAAATCGAAAAGTGTTTTTTGTGACCCTTGAGTTAATAATTGGAGCTCCTAAATAAATAAAAACTTGATTCAGACTGCATGGGGTTCTTTAGAACCTGAGCAATTATTTTTTGAAATCTATTGGGAATATTCTTAGAAAATTAAATTGTTGACTTGTTGAAAATTGGGCTTTGACTTGAAGTCCTAGAAAACTCAGAAAGAATTTCTTTAATCCTCAGGCCTACAATAATTTTGGGTTCAGCAAAGATAATGCAATTATCCGCAAATTGGAGAATAGGAATTTTAGGGCAATCCTTAGTGACTCAACACCCAATAGGGTTCACATCAGTCTCTGCTGCTTTTTCAAGCTTTCTAGTTAACACCTCAGCACACAAGACAAATGTAAGGGGAGAGAGGATCACCCAATCTTATACCTCTAGAAGGGGTGAAGCCTCTAGAGGGAGCCCCATTTATCAAAATTTGATAGGAAACCATTTTGATGCATTCCATGACCCATCTAATCCACTTCTCATGGAAGCCAAATTTCCTAAGAACCAAGGTTCAAAGTATTGATACGATACGAATTTCGGCYGTATCATATCGATACTTAGAAACGGCCGAAACACTTATTTTTTTTTTAGTTTTTTTTTCAAACTTTAGTTTTTTGGAAAGCTTATAAGCTATTTTTTATAATTAAAAAATGGGGGTCCAAAACACCTGAAAACAGGTGTTTCGGACTGTATCATCTGTAAAAGAGGCGATACGATACGTATCGTATCGATACTTTGAACCATACTAAGAACTTTTTCAATGAAATTCCATTCCAGGTTATCACAGGCTTTCTCCATGTCGATTTTACAAACCATGACTAATTTCCTCCATTTTTTCTTTCTAGAGTGGAACATGAGCAATCATAATATTATCATTTATTTGTTTGTTTAGAACAAAAATACTCTGGAAGGGAAAAATAATATTTTCAAGAATAGGTTTTATCCTTTTTAACCAGAATTTTTTATATTACTTTATAGATAACATTACCTAGGCTGATTGGTCTATAGTTATTAACTGTTTCAGGATTATTAATCTTTTAGATTAATGTTATGAAAGTTTTATTCAAAATGAGACAATTTTCCAATATAAAAAAAAGACTTCACTATCCTACAAAAATCCTTTTTTATAATATTCCAGAACTTCTTAAAGAAAAGATCATTAAATCTATCAGGATCAAGATTTAAGGGCATCATAGATAGGGTTGGCCCGAATTAACAGTTTACACTGTTTCGGGCTCGGGCTTGAGGATAAGCCTATTGAAATTTTGACAAAATCCCAACCCTAACCCGAAAATATTGCACCCCTAATCATTGCGTTTGAATTGGACTCTTGCTAAAAAATGGAGTAGAGAGAACTTTTTCCTGAAGCCGTCCTCCAAAACATCCTATAAATTCACAAAACTACAAATGGTTCGATGTCTCAAATAATACGTTAAAAATTTGGCCCCGAAATATTTAGGTTCGAGCGTCTTTTTCTTCCTGACTGCTTTCCCTTGTTAACAAGCTCTATTGTAATACTAATTTCTCCCCAAGTAATTTACTAACGATGCAGCTGTACTGATACAAGAAAGTACCGCTATATAGTTAGTTCAGTTGAGAAGTTGAGATTGAGATGAACAAAAATCAAATCAATAGTAAGAAGTATTAGAACAATACGTGACAGTTTTATTTTATAAGACCACACTGGACTTGGGGCATGTAACAAATTAACAATGTTGGGGCCTTAGTCCTCGAATTTGTCAGAAGGAAAAGAAGAAACGTCGTGGTCCTGGGCCCAAGGTCTAGGTTAGTTGGTGTAGGGGCCCGTCTACGACAAATGTACATTACCAGCAAAATCAACGGCTCAATATTTGAGACCGTGATCGCCTGACACATCACACCGGTGGGGCCTTTTGTTGGCATGATGTACGGTGATTCGGCGTTATTCATGACTCATGAGAGTGGAAAATTCAGAAGCCAAACACCCTTTGATTCCTATGTACTTCTCTCTACAGCAAGTGGCCAAGTGGGCACCTCTACGGCTCTACCATCTTCGCGTTTACTTGTAAAATCAAGGTGACCGTCCGATCAATTGCTTGGTCAAAACTTTCTAGTCCATTAGAATATCTAAATATGCCACTCACTACGTACCATCAACCGCTACATAGTACCTACCTACCTTTGCTTACCTAGGATGAGAAGGAGACGTTCAGTTTAATTCTTTTTATTTTTTATTTTTTATCTTTTCGCAAAAGCCCAGACAGACCAGAGAGAGACGAGAGTGTGGAGTAAAGGAAAAGGAAGAGCGTAAGTATGGATGTCTGAAAGGATCAATGAATAGTCGTAGTCATATTCATTTGGGTTGCAGTTAAAACGGAAACTGCAAAAGCTTCCGTGCCCCAGAGAGAGAGAGAGAGAGCGCCCTTTCCTTCTTTGTTTTCCTGTGGGTGCGGCTGATTCATTGAATTTGAACCCATTCACCGATTGCTCTCTCTAAATTTCTCTTACCCTTCCCCCCTTTCTCTCTCTCTAAATTCTAAGAATGTTTACTACACCACGACGACCACTATTCTTCCCCTCATCTTCCTCCCTGTTTCCCCTCGTTCAACCGAAGCTTCATCGACCATGCTATCCTGCGCCTGCGATGACGAGGTCGCCGGTGGCTTCTGGACCGTCGACAACATTCTCCAATGTCAGAAGGTCAGTGACTTTCTCATTGCCCTCGCTTACTTCTCCATCCCTCTGGAGCTCTTCTACTTTGTTAGCTGCTCCGCCATCTTCCCCTTTCGTTGGGTCCTCACTCAGTTCGGTGCTTTCATAGTTCTCTGCGGCTTGACTCACTTCCTCACTATCTGGACCTATGCCCCTCACTCCTTCTATGTTATGCTTGCTTTAACCATTCTCAAAATTCTCACTGCTCTCGTTTCCTGCGCCACCTCCATTACCCTCGTTACCCTTATTCCTCAGGTGCTTAAGGTGATGGTTAGGGAGGGTTTGTTGATCAAGAAAACCAGAGAGCTTGGCCGGGAGGTTGGTTTGATGAAAAGACAAGAGGAGGCGAGTCACTATGTTCACATGCTCACTAGAGAAATCCGCCAGTCGCTCGACCGCCACACCATCTTGTATACCACTCTCGTCCAGCTCTCCAACGTTCTGTTTCTGGACAACTGTGCTATTTGGATGCCGGATGAGCTCAATTCTATGATGAATTTGACGCATGAGTTAAAGCGGAGGGACGGTTTGGTTTCTATTCCCGTCGATGACCCCGAGCTGGTGGACATCCTCCAAGATAAGCGGGTTAGGGTTTTGGGACCTGATTCCAGGTTAGGATGGGTGGCCGGAAATGGACCTGCTGTTGCTATTCGGATGCCCATGCTCAGAGTTTCCAATTTCAAGACCGGCACGCCGGAGATGATGGAGACTTGCTATGCCATTTTGGTATTGGTCCTTCCAGCGAATGGGAATAGGGACTGGAGCTCGCAGGAACTTGAGATCGTGGAGGTCGTTGCGGATCAGGTCGCTGTGGCTCTGTCTCATGCTGCTGTTCTTGAAGAATCGTTGCTAATGAGGGAAAAGCTATTGGAGCGGAACATGGCTCTAGAGAAAGCCAGGCAAATGGCTTTGATGGCGAACGAGGCACGACGCTCCTTCCAGAAGGTTATGGCTATGGAGATGATCACTCCCAGCAGATCTGTCGCTGCAATTCTCTCGGTGTTGCAGAATGAGAATTTCAGATCTGAAAACCAGAAGAGGATAGTTGATACAATGGCAAAAGGGAGTCTTCTGTTGTCTGCTCTCATTGAGGATGCTACAGGGATTTCTGGTTTGAGGGGCAGTAGGTTTGAACTTAAATTACGTACTTTTAGCCTTCGTTCCATGTTGAAAGAGGCCGTGGTTGTATCAAAGCTTCTATGTGCTTCCCAGGCCGTAGATCTTGATTTCCATATTTCTAAAGAAGTTCCAGATCAGGTAGTTGGAGACGAGACGCGTATTCTTCAGGCTGTCATGTACATGCTTGGAAAGGTTTTGGGTTCTGGAGTTGGTGGTACCGTTTCCCTGAGTGTTTCTAGGGAGTATCACTCTGGGGATAGATTGGATCCTAATTACCCAGCATGGAGGCCGGCAAGAAGTGAAGAGTATGTTCTCTTGAGATTCAAGGTGGTTAAAACTGATTCTATGGAAGATGATGACTCAAGTTTACCGGTTGATGAGCTCTGCAGCGGTGAAGCTGGGAGTCAAAAGACTAAATTCAATATCTGCGAGAAGTTGGCCCAGGTTAGCACAGGAAGCTTAACTTTTTACCTTTCATTTTCTTTTTTTATCTTCAATCAGGTTAGAGATTTTACTGGTACTTGCATAAGAAAAAATCATAGATACATGTTCGACTATTTGAACAACCTCCAAACTTTTCATGCTAAATTCAATTATTGAAGTGTAATTTGATACCATTTATGCCTGATAATGACTTGGCAAGGGACAAGGTGCAAGGCGAGGTTTGCACCTTTTTGAAGTAAGGCACAAAAATACAAAAAAATGCTAAAAAATAAAAAATGTCAGAAAATTCAAAAAATGCAAAAAATTATTAAACATAATATTAATAAAAAAATGTAAACTTAAATTCTAAAATAAATGTTTTAAAAAACCTATTATCTAAAATTAAAATTAAAATTAAAATACATAAACATAACATGTAAAGTATTCAAATGAAAATTTAAAAGTAAAATCAAACATATAAAGCATTTTCAAGTATGTAAAACCCATAATCTCTTTTTTTCTTCAATTGCATTACTTTAAGTAGCTAAAGTGATGTAAAACATATTGCATTCCTAATTCTACGAGCCGCCTTGGTACCACGCCCCTTGAGGCAAGCCCATACAAGTCCATGTTAGGGTCTTAAATTCTTAAATCTCACATAAAAAAATAACGATTTTATAACTTTAGTTGCCTTTTAAGAAGATATTTTATTAAAATGAATGAATGAGCGACATTAGCAAACAGGGGGTAAAATTTAAAAAAGGCGCACGCCTAGGCGAGTTGCATACCCTAAAAGGCGCCTTGCCTGTGCGCCTAGGCACACCTTTTAGATCACTGGTTCTGATTAGGAAATGTAGGCTATTTGAACCAATTTCTATTGTCTGTCTAATCAGTTCAAAATGCATAAATGTAATTAACTCAATTACATACATGGGCTTATAATCCTCCATATGGTAAAACCCACCCCTTACTTTCATCCCTTGTTTACAAAAATAATTCTTTGATTTAAAGTGGTGGTTGAAAAGCCACTATTATGGAAAGTTACAGTAGAAAGACTAAGCACACAAGAACAATAAATGTGTGGTTGTTGAGGCTAAAAGCTTTTACTGAATGAACAGAATGAACAGAATTCACCCAATCACCCCATTACCCCCCCGCCCCACCCGAAACAGGTACTCTTTCATCAACAGCCAACACTCTCTCTCAAGTGCAATGCATTCCCTACAAGTCATTGTTAAGTTTGATTTTTTAGTTACTTTGTCTTTGTACATTCTTATGTGTTTTACACCTTTGTAATGGAATATTAACTTTGAAAAGAAAATGAAATGAAAGACCTTTTGGATACCTTTAGTTAGTAAAATTTCCACTAAATAAGTCACTTATCAAAAAAAAAAAAAATTCCACTAAATAAGTAATGAGAATATAACTGATACTTGATCACTGACCCTAAAATAGAACAAACTTTGACTAAAATCACAAATCAACCTCTTTATCGGCTCTTTGCCATCAGTAAGGCCGTAGCCTCCTAGTATTAAGAATGCAAGACATTTAACATCACACTAGCTACTTGAGGTGATGCAAGTAGGAGATACAAATACATTGAGAGTTTCGCATTACTTGATTATCAAGTGCTTGAAGCACTTTGATATTCTGCATCTGTTTGCATTCACTCTGAATTTGAATTTGTTTTATATTTTGTGCTTAAGTCTCAGTTTGTTTGCAGTGCAAATTTCTTTTGCACTGGTGTAAATGCATGGGCGTGCAAATAGGCTGAGTGTAAATTCTGGTTTACTTTTTTGCTTCAGATTTTAATTTTTCTTATTTGTTTGTGAGAAATAAATAGGAATTAAAATGAAGTAGTCCCCGCTTTATATGAAAGATAATGGAGATGGGAGGAGAGTTTTTTGTTTGGGTGTTGTAGGAAGCAAGATGATTTGGTCCCCACTTTATATGGAGAGAATAGAGGTATGATGATGGTGGTGCAAATTTTGTATCAATTTTTTGGAATTGGGATGCAAAACTTACACTGCCAGTGAGAATTTTCCAAAAAACATTGCAGTGAGTGCAAATGAGCAAAGTACAAATTTTGTACCAGTAGGTGTAACAAATCATAGTTACAATTTACAAACAAACAAATGCAAAACCTAATTGGGTTCAAAATTTGTATTCGGTTCAGATTTGCACTACAAACCAAGAGAGTCTAAGTATTTTGCTTAGAGCTAATAGGTCTTTCAAAACTTATAATTTCTTTTAAAATTCAGGTTTACGTATTTTTAAAACCTGCACCTTAATTTTCTTGTGCCTTTCACTTTAAAAGCACTGTACCATACTTAAACAATGATTAAAATTTGTATATGGGATATCTTTTCTTTCACTTTTTAATTTTATTACACTTTATAATTTTATTATATGTTGCTAATACTTTACCCATCAAAAGAATAAAATTCAATTGAATAGATCATAATTCTGTTGGTTTCAGTTTGAGCTAGTACTTTTTTTCTTTCAGAATCCAAGGAAACCATTTTGACAAGATGTACAAGAATCAAAGGACCGTCACCTACTTTGTAAGCTTAGAGTTAATTTACTATTTGTTCTTTTAGAAAATCCGTTAAGGCAATACAATAGATCATCTTGGTGTACTCGATGTAAKCCAAATATTGTCATATTCCTGCAAACTAATGAGCTTCTTCCAATCCACCATGTTTGGTCAAAATTGAAGATAATAGATTTGTTGGATTTAGTTAATTTCATAGAGAAAAAGCTGTTGAGTGTTGGGAACTTGAGAATTGAGATCTAATCAAATAGATGCATTGGATTTAGAACACCCCTTCTAGTTGATTTCAAAGAGAAAAAGTTGCTGAATGTTCAGATCTGATCCAAAGAATTTTTGGCCTGGAGTTTGTTGATGACCACATAACCAGCTAGAATTTTGCAGTCTTATTGCCTACACAGGGTCCTCTAGGCCTTTAATATGGGCCCACAGTCTAGCCCAAGTCAAACCCTTGACTGGAACCATGCATTGCCAAAGATCTCCAACTGGATTAGGCTGTAAATGGGCCTGATGTAGATTAGATATACTTGCATCTGAAATCAGACATGGATACTCTGGTAATATATATCATTTATAAATTAAACTAAAAAACTGACCTGAATATTTTATATTTTTTGATAGATCCCAAAAATTTTATATTTTATATATCATAATTAAAATGAATTAGAAATAACTTTATTAGACTAGCCCTTAGTAAAAATACAATAATTGGTTTAACTCTATATAGATATGTGCAAACATATAGTGATACTATTGCATTTGGATTGAATCATTTAGGATTGGGATGTATCCATAATTGATCCAATTAAAAAGGATCAATTTCAGATTTCCTTTATAGATTTTTTTATCAGCAACAAAGAAAGGAATTTGCTCCTTAAACAATTGAAAAGTTAGAACAAGAGGTTGTGGATACAATAAAGGAGCAAAGTAGAATCACATTGCACCACCCTTCTTACATTTGAGCCCAAAACATTTGCTGTCTATTAAACCTTTGTCTGGCCAAACAGTTTGCAGACCTATGTACCCATCTGATTCGTATTGATTCATATTTGCATGTCTTTTGAGAGCCATTTGAACTGTCTTAATTCATTTCTGAAATTCCACATCACATTCTTTTCCTTGAATAACCATCCAACTACCACTTTCGAATCCCTCTCAATCATCAACCTTTCGACCCCCATTTCTTTAGCTTTTGTACCCTAAATACTACTACCCAAAGTTCTGCCCTTACTGAATCACCTACTTCTATTGGACCCGAAGACATTGCACATATGGTAGATTTCCTTTATAGAATTGGATTTCAGATTTGAACTAGGACAAACAGATGCAAGCCAGCCTTTATTAGATATCATAAGATAATTACTAAGGAATGAGGTTGTATTTGGAGAGTTCCAGCATTAGGGATGCCAGTGGGTCGGGTTAAGTGGTAAACCCACACTGTCTGGCCCCTATTGGGTTAGTGTGGGGTCAGCCTTGGGTTCGGGTTGAGGTGGTTCAATGCTGAACCCAACCCATTGACATTGCGCCATTGAAATATTAGTATATATAGGCTTGGTTGAGTATAGCTGTAGTGTATATTAGGACAGGTTGGTTCAGGTTCRATACCCCCCTTCATTTAGGTAGGTTCAGTGAGGTTCGGGTTGGAGTGACTATGGATCAGGTTTGGGTTGAGCTAGAACCATACTGAACCTGATCTATTGACATCCCTATTCAGCATTACAGAGGTTGGATACTCATCCCAAGGGTAAGTAAATTTTGTGTGAAAATGTGAGGGTTGTCTTTCTATTTATCTGACTGTTGTAACATAATTGGTGCATGGGAAGTTTCTTGGTGATTGTAAGTTTCTTGGTCAGTTTCTTTACTAAATTCTGTCAAGTGACTGTTAATGTGCCTTATGCTTCAAGTTCCCTTCTATTATGAGAGTTAAGAATCATGCAATGGTTTTCTTTTCAACAATTAAATTGATATCAAGAAATTTCTAGTTCCTTGATGGTTTCTTTGTTAAGACTCCTGAGTCCTGACGTCCTTAGTCCATGTGATGGGGAACATTCTATGCCTTTGAAGACTTATTCTATGTGGGAGAAATTCGTTTAACAAGTTCTGACTTAGTAAGATGCCAACTCTTGGAAGTATGCTGATTTAGCCTGCAAGTGTGTTTTTGTCATTTTAATATATTGCTAGTAGGATGTGGTCAATAGAAGTTGTTTGTCTTGTCACTATTTAGTTAAGTTTCTAGTTTTATAGTCACAAGTTTAGTAGATAGAAAGCTACAGAATACAGATGCTCTCTCACTTTTGCACATTGGGTTGTAGTGGCATTATCATAATTACAATGAACAGTGTTCCACATTTATAAAAAAAAATGAACAGTGTTCCACACCATATTTGTTGACCTATAAATTATTCCTTTGTCTTTTAGTACTGGAATTGATGATTGATTGAAATCTTGAATGTTCACTTCCTTTGCGTGTATGCTTTATGGAATGATTCCTTTGAAACCTAGGGTGATGTTAGGCCCCTTTGAGCAATTCCCAAGGTTTTTATCTTTCTTTTCTCTAACATCTTCAAGCTTTGACAACTATAGCAGCCATCTATGATCCAACCACAAATCAAGTTATGGAGTGATTCCATTGAAACCCTAGGGTGATGTTACATTTTCTTCAATTTTTCCCACTCTTTCTATCTAAACCCAACTTGTTCTCCTTAGAATTTGTGCCAAACTGTTTAGACTTCATTCCTTATAACTCCAACATAAATAAACTTACAATTTTCAATCTAAAATCTTTCTGGAATTCTAAGATTTCAGGTTAGAATGTCAATCAAACTTAACTACCTAATCACTGTAAAATCATTCACCAGTCTTATCCTCAAATAAATCCCTTAAATTTCAAAACGCTAGCATGCTACTTGACTGTATTTTCATCTTAAATCTCACTTTAGAGCYTATTGCCCTATGTAGTCCTACATTAGCATGATTTCATCAGGAATCCAGATGCTATTGACCGTATTTTTACTTTTAACTTGGTTACGGGTGGCTGTTTCAGTTTTTTGTTATGGGAGTGTATCAATATTTGTAGTATCAAAAGTGAACAAACTTAAGTTAATTTCTTGACAGCAGTCTTGTTCTATAAAATATTACTTCGTGGAAGTAATATTTTGTTTTTCACTCTATTAATTAATCTAAAATAAGAAAATACATAAATAAACCCAGTTTTATTGTAAACGCTAAATAGCAGAGTTGTTATTTGAACTTCAACCCCCCACTCAGAAATTTATTGGTACGTTACAGTGGGTTTAGAATTTTATAAAAAAAAAGAAATATCAGGAAGGTGCAAAACAACCCATTTTTTATGCACGGAAATAAGCTAGTCCTTGTTGAGCTTTCATTGCTTAAAGGTTATATAACCTTGAAGACTGCCTGCTTACTATTGTTAGCTTAGCTTAAAAGGATTCAAAGCAATATTTTCAATGATTTTTCCTTTGTGACGACCCTTTCAAATTTCAAGTTCCCCTTCTGCTGCCAACTTCAAAGTGTTTACAATCTTTGCTCTCTACTCAATTGAGAATTTAGTGTAGACCATTGTTTTGTACGTGCAGCTTATGCATGGGAGTATGTCGAGTGGCCTTGCCTCTGAAGGTGTGGATAGGTGTATGAATTTGACAATCAGATTGCGGCTACAACAATCAGGAGGTGGTTTCATTCAGCCTAGATATATGGAGCCTGATACTTCCCGATGCCTTCTGAAAGGGATGAATATCCTCCTTGCAGATGTTCATGGTTTCAACCAATCCATTACAAGAAAGCTTCTGGTAAACTTGGGATGCCATATAGCAGTTGTAAATTCATGGCATCAATGCTTAGAAACAATTCACATGGGTGGAAACAACCATCACCTGCTGCTAATAGACCTAGGTATTCTTGAGGAAGATGGAATCGAGATGTTTGCTCGAATAAGAAAACTAAGATTGGAAACTAGTTTGCTGATAGTTGCATTAACATCCAGACCTGATAGGAATACACGTGATGTGTGTCTTGGGAATGGGATCCATGGGGTTATTTGTAAACCTGTTATACTGCCGGAGTTGGAAGATGAGCTGCAGAGAGTTTTCCGAAGTGCTGGTACTGTCCCCTCCTTTTTGCAATGAGGATTAACAAGTAACAATAAATCATCCTGCAAAGTTCTGGCATCCTTTCATAGTGATTAGAGTATGAAAATGAATCTCTCTCTCTCTCTCTCTCTCTGTGTTACTGTTACCAAAATGAAGTTTGTCATTTTACATGACTTGTACAATGCCAAAAAAGATGATAAAACGAAGAAGATAGAGAGGGTGAATTAGAGGTGTAAAGTGCCCGCAGGCGGCCCGTGCAAAGTGGGGGCCGTGTCATGCTGGCCCGCGGGCCATCACGGGCCGTGTCATCCACCCCGGTAAAAATTTTGGGGRTCGGCCCAGCACAACCCACAGCCCAGGCCTACGTGGGCCTGTGCCATGCCACAGGCTGGGCTGGCCCGTGGGCCAAGCCTTGGCCCAAGTCAGGCCATGGACCAGGCCAAAGCTATTTTTGCCTATTTATTTAAAAAACTTGAAGTTTTAATTTTATATGAATTTTAAGGCATACAATTGCTTATAAATACAAGAATTAAATAAATTGGTATAATGAAATTGAAAAAAATTGTTTATTTTATTAATATATTATTATATAATTATAATATATATATATATATATATATTAAAACAATGTGATTAAGAAATTTTCTCATTTTTTCTCATTTTATATTTTTTTTATTCTATGTCATTTTTAAGACAACTAATGAAATGCACTTTCTCAATAACCTAAATAATCTCTTCTCCTAAAATTTCTCCTAAACTACCTCTCCCACTGTCCCTTACTTTCCCCAAAATTATCTCTAATTCTTATTTATCTTATAAATTAACTCTAATTCATATTTATCTCCAAAGTTATCTCTAATTTAGTAGAGAATTTCTCTCCAAAATTCTCTCTAATTCCTATTTATCATCTCCCTTACTTTTTATCTATATCTATCTAAAGAAAGTTTAGATTAAAAAAAATTATTTAAATATTCTAACAAAATTATATAATAACTTTAAAATATTTATTAAAAACACAAAAAATAATTTTATATTTTTACAAAATAAATCAAGAAACTATGAACTAACAATTTAAATTATGTTTTTTTGGACTATCAATTTAAATGTTTTTTAAATATTTAACAATATGTAATAGCTTTAAATAAATAAAATTCAAATAAAAAAAATATTTTAAATATTTTATAGAATATTTAAATATTTAATTAACTAAATATTTATCATAACTAGATCTTAAATAGTTAAAATAATGAAATTATGTAATAAATTTAAAAATTTCTTCAAAGTAGAAAAATAGTTATAACATAATATTGAAATTAATAATAATTTAATATATTACAAAATTAATAATGAAATTATGTGATAATATTATAAATTATGATTTTATGGATAACTAAGTTCATAAAATAATTAATATTTTACACATTATTTAAGTATTTAAACAAATAAATATTTYAAGTAACAAAATATTTAACATAATTAGATTTTAAATAATTAAAATAAAGAAATTATGTAATAAATAAAAAAACTGAAATTTAGAAAAATAATTATAACATAATATTAAAATTTTTAATAATTTAATATTTTTACATAAAATTATAATTAACTGATTTCAATTATATCAAGTAATAATTTGAGAAAATAACTTTTAAAAAATGATATTTATTTATAATAATTTTAAACTCTTAATTTGTATTTATTATATAATTATATATACTAAAATTAATATTTATTGCATTTCAGTAATTATTTATTGATTTTTGTGATAAATGTATTTTCAATGATTATGTATAAATTTATTTTGTTTTGTTGTTTAACAAAAATTTTTAATAATTATTGGAGATTAAATTACTATTATTGAAAATTTTAAATTTAATTTATTATATTTATTATATTTCTGTTATAACTTATTGATTATTTTTATAAGATATTAAATTATTATTTGAGATTATACTATTTATTGACTAAGTTAATATATTTTTAGTACTTATTGTATTTTTGTAATTTTTGTATTTTTTCATTATTAATATATTTTCAATAATTGTGTATTTTCGCTATAAATTTTCAATAATTATTGGAGATTAAGCTATTCTTAATTATTTATCAGAGATGAGACTATTAATTTAGCTGAAATTATGAGTGTTCATGACTTGGTTCGGTTTGGTCGTAGGCTATTTGGCCAACTAAATTAACTTGGTTAGGTTGGGGAGTTGGTAAGGTAAAACTGTTTGACCTTTTGTGAAATCCAACCTACTCAAGTTTTATCTGTTTGGATCGATTTTTACTTTGGTCATTCAATTCAAAAGATTTAAACTTAAAAATTTAATTTAATTTTAAAAATTACAATGTAATTATTAAAAAATAAATTTAAAAATTAGATTTATGATATAAAACATTTTAGATTAAGAAATATGGAAAATTTCCCACTTCTTCATATTAAAAATTATATTTAAAATATAAAATATTAATATATAACCATGGTTAGGTTGTTTGATTTTGGTCGGTTTACAAATGGCTGAAGTGGAATTGATGATCCAAGTTGGTCGAATTGAGAAATTTTTTAACCAAAGCCAACTTAAAATACTAGAAAATCAAGCAACTCAAATCGGGTTGATCGGGTTGGTTGGTTTCATCAGTTTGATAAATAAACTTAACTAAAATTAATTATTATTATTTTGTCTTATAAAACATTATTAAAAGTAGTAATGCTTTTGTAAAAAATTATAAAATATTAATGATGGTGCTGCTGTTGATGTTCTTAAATGCTTAAACCACCAAAGATCCAAATTACTTCTCACTGGTGCCGTTGATGTTCTTAAATGATTAAACCACCAAAAATCCAAATTACGTCTCACTGGTGCTGCTGATGTTCTTAAATGATTAAACCACCAAAAATCCAAACTACTTTCTTTCATTTGATCACATATTGGAGTCACTTTCGGGGAATAGTACAAATTGTATAAATGTAAAAATCTCATTATAAGCTAATATCAATTATTAATAAATTAATTTGAATTTATCAGAAGAATTAACCCAATTTTCTGAGAGTTTGAAAGGTTTCATCACAGACAGAGTACCTAAAATAGCTGAAATATCCAAATTTTGAAATCTTGCTTTACAGAATACATGCGTTAGTAAAGAAGCACAAGTGCAAGTAATTGCTGAATGATGGTAGTGCTCTCGAGTCATACTAGTAAATATGCACACGCACTGTATGTGGCAAATTAGTAATTTCAGATAACATTAATAATTTTAATATCTTTATTAGAATAATTTAAAAAGGATAAATAATTACAACATGGTGTATGTGCTGGTAGATTTAGATATTATATTTAATTTTCATTATTAATAAAAATATTTATTATTTATCATATTCATTTTTTGTTTAATATGATAAATATATATTATTAGAGATGTACACAAATTTTATAGACATTTTTTTCTATATTTTTGTTTTTTTGGATTTTTATTATATAATTATGACATCATGTTTTGGCATATTTGACTTGAAAAAAAAAACCACTCTCTTTTTTGGGCAACTTTATATTTTTTTCATTCCATTTACATAATTAGTTCTAAAAATAATTCTTATTTACCACACCTATTTTTATTTTTTGTGTTTCTATCTATTTTAATTTTTTTATTATTTAATTATGACAGCACTGGTTAACCCATTTACTCAAATGATTGGACCATTATGGTGCAAGTCAAGTAGGTTGGGCTGAATTTAATCTTAACCTAGACCCAACCCTTATGCATTGGACCTAAGGCTTCATACCAAACTCAAGCCTGATTTATCTAATTTGGGCCCAACTTGCATTGAAATTTGATGCACTTGGGTTAGCCTTGGACTTGGTTCTATTAATTTGTGTATAATTGCATGTACATGCATGTATGCAAATGTGTGCTATATATGTATTTATGATTGTATTATGTATATATAATCAGGCTTGACTTTAGCTACCTAAGAGCTAGGCTTGGTCCCAACCTAAAAAATAAAAAAAAAAGCCCAAACTTTTAAGCCTAGGTCTAGGCCCAAGTTGAAGACCAAAAATCAAAGCTAACTTTTCTAAAATAACGAGTTGAATCAATTTGAGCTTGATTCAAGCCCACTTAATTTGCCTCCCTATGGACCATTGACCATCAATTAGATGCAAAAATAATTTTCATTTTATGTTAACTTACTTTTTAATTCTATTTCTACCATTAATAAAAATAACTCTTATCTATCACACCTATTTTTGTTTAATATGATGAATACATAATATGGAAAATTTCTTAAACTGCCATTATAGTTTAGTTGATTGACTAACTCTATTCTTACTGTTTACATATTGTATTAGAGTACCCCCTAAGTTTTCTGACAATTAACTAAATCCTCATTGACATTAACATCCATTAAAGAAAAGATGAAAATGACTATTTTACCCATTATTCTCTTTCAAATTTTCAAAATGAAACATTAACTTCAATATATTCAAACCTCTGTAGTTTGATAACATCAACTGATGGAATCGTGGTTGCAGCTGCTGCCAGCTATGTTCATGGAGAGAACGGAAACCGTGTCCTGAATCTAAACGGACCTTAAAACAGAGTCTATTCTAATTTCGAACCATCGCCCACCAAACAAATTTTGAATCTTGACTGTAGATCATTAGTGTTACCCAACCACAACATACACTTAGCCTAAACAAATGGGTCAACACTACCCTCCGATCTCACTACATTTCATACCAAGAGTGTCTCCATTGGCAACACTTCTAGAGCACAAGAATGCAACGGGGTTTCTCGAGGTCAGATTGGGCCTCGTGGAATCAATATCCTTGCGAGGTTTTGGCAGGAGACAAATAGATGATTGTGTCATTTGCAAGACCCCAGTTCGCCATTGTTGACAAATACTGACTCAAGGACAAAGACCCCTCCCAAACTCATTCCATCTAAGAAACCAGTAAGTGATAGTCCCATATCATCTCCTTGAACAATCACAAGTGGCAGTAGCAGGGCATTGTCATCACCTTTTCAGTGGCAAATTAGGCCTTCATTCCCTAGTAAGCTTATGACAAATTCAACCTCTTCTTCTATTCAGGGGAATGCCCAGTCCATCACGGATGAGGAATGTAGCAACTGCCCCGTTGAGTGGTCATTCCATTAACATGCCTCCAATTCTTAGCTTTGT